GTTAATTTAGGGCTCTGCATCTGTTCAGTGAACCTGTCGATCAACATGATCACCATATTCGCGCTGATTTGCTACTGGACATAAGAGTTGACAGAATCTCACCTTTACGGCAGTCACGTCCAGGATTTCTTAGCTCGTCATGATCCACGTAGCCAGTTTTACATTGACATTTGTAGGCATCACGAGTATCTGAAACAAGACGCTACTGGATTCTAGGGAATAGTTATTTATAATAATTCTGTCAAAGAAGTATATGGAGGAATATAGTGGAAAGAGTGTAGAGCCTTCTCTATGAACTTTCGAAGTCGTCACTTCTAACAGTTTCCCTAAATAATGAGGGCCTAAATTGGTAGTACAGCGCCAAGATGGGAACACCTATTGTGCAAGGCAGGACCGGGCTCTACCCACAGTGGACGTGATTTGAGCGAAGAATCATAACTACTGTTCCCGTGCACCTAGAGCGTTCAAATTTCGTAAAAGCGCAGGCGGCAGAATGAAAACACCTAAGGTATAGCTGGAGTACCGGACCCCGTCCACAGTATGTGGGGCAACTCCTGTTCCCATACACTTATAGCGTTCAAATTTATTAGGGGTACAGATGACAGGATTGGCAGGATGGAAACTAATGGTAGGTGGCAGGACTTGGCTCCGCCCACGGGAGGCGGGAAAACGCGAAAATTGCTAATTTTGACTTGGGGCGTTCAAATTTGAAACGAGTAAAGGCGGCAGGTTTGAGACACCGATGATAGATAGTAGGTAACTAAACTGGATCCAGTCCGCGGAGGCATAGGTGGTATGTATGAGGCGTCATGATATGGCCGTACTTTGAGTGAAAACACGCAGTTAGGTTGGAATAAGAGGGAGTGAACTCAACGCACGAAGTGTGCCTGTGCGTGTGTTTTGCAGGAAATCTGTAGCTCCTGTTTCCTCGGAGTAGAGATTTTGAACTTGGAGGAGTGCAGGCAGCAGGCCAACTTCAACACAAGAAGGAGGAGAACTCCACGTTAACTGTGCGATCCGACTGGTACTCACATAAGAGAATAGGAACACAAACTAGTGGGTATGCTGTATTTTATGACTCGTTTTGTGAAATAGATGGGTGTACTTCTCCCGAATTCCCAGGTGGTTCCGCGGCGGCCATCGTATCCTTCCACTGGGAGTTCAAACCTTTCCCCTTATAGCGTGCGATCGAGTGCGGCAATCGCGACGCGATTTTCGCAGAGAAGTTGCTTTACTCACTGTCAAATACTCCGCACTACTCTAGAAGGACTGCTAATATTACGCGCCTACGGAAATTTTACAGGATTTATACAATAAATCTTAAAAATTTTATTTCAATTGCTGACTGATTCCATTACTAATTTTCATATACCTCCAGATTCTTCCAAGTCATGAGACTGATTCTAAAGAATTATAAGTTTGGTTAGATATAAGATTTCATCGAACAATCATATAAGTCATTTACCTATGCAGATGGCATGCTCATGGCAATTATTGGTAGTTTTCGAGGCACATTCATCAACCAAAGCACGACAATCCAAACCGGCGAAAACTTTCATGTTCGGTGAGACGTCCACGAACGACTCTTTGCATCTGTTAATAGTAGGCAATAGTTTTATTTATCTGTCTACTTTGTACGACTAAATAAGCAAGCATTTATGTACCGATCATCTATACTACAAAACAATGAATTGTGAAAGCACTTGGAAATTTGCGCGTGGAAAAGATACTTCTAGGGTGAAGCTCATTTGAATTCTTTGAAAAAAAGCCAATTTATAAGTAAAAGTACGCTACCTGCAGAGGAACCCGTCGGGGAGATCAATACAATCGGCGTTCTTTGAGCAATTGTGCCGGTTCTCCTCACACTCATTGTGAACTGCAAAAAAATGGTTTGCTAACGAAAAATTGGAATTTGGAATTCGAAGGGTACGACGTAAAAAAGATTAGGGGAAGTTGCCTGCGTACTGTTGGAATCCTCATGGACTCAGAATAAAAACGTCCCCTCGTCTGTACACTGATTCCTTCGTGATTAGCTTCTTTAGAAAAAGGAAAAGGAATCCGCTTCATATGGGAGTTTATCCAGAAAATTTCCCAAGGTCGAAACTACTAAAAAAACTAACGTTGGGTGCAAACTCGTCCAGGTTTCCTGGCTTGATCGGGCGATTTATCCAGGAAACCACTGTTGCACGTGCAAATGAACGATTCGTCTGTGTCTGTGCATCGAGCGTTCACATCGCAGTCATGAGTACCGGCAGAACATTCGTCAATCACTGAAATATCTCTGACCAATCAAAGAACCAAAAAGCACATGACTTTTGACCAATCATAAAGGACCGCCTCTAGAATGCAGGTCCAACCATCCCTCCGAGAAGACAAACCACAAACGGAATCGAAGAGGAGGACTCACAGCAAATTTCAGTAACGTTATGTCTCTTGTAGAACTGACTTGCATCGCACTGACAAGTGTAATCGCCACTGAAATGATTTGGGTTCGATTGAAGTATTTGTTTAATGATTCGATACATTTCCAGCGCATTTTTGGCACTGAGTTTTTCGAGTCAAAATGAACTTCAAAAAAAATTTGGTGAAAGAACTGAATCACCCCGAATGTTGTTAGGGAGACACTGTTGTGGGATCCAACTGAATTGTGCATGACTAAGAAATCAGACACAGGGTAGCGGGGATTTCGTGGAATCCACCATGTGTTGGACATTCTCTCAAAACCGTAATGGGGCTTTGATAAGTGTAATACTTGGTCTATTCACTGAACTACAGACAAGGGAGGGGTTTTATCACCGCGGAACAACCCGATACCAAATTAATCGACTCAAAAATGATAGAATGTCGAATGCTTTGGGAGGGGGCAGTTCAGGGTATCGTTACCACATCGTACCTATAGTAAAGCGCTTTTCATGACGATGTCTACACTCATCTGGAGCTACCGTATCACACTTTTACTTTTATGTGACCATATTAATGGAATAACGATTGGGTGAAATTCATGTTCGCCTTACTTGAAGCTTAGACATTTGTTCCATAAGTAGCCAATGCTTCTTTGCCAAACAGGTTTTTTAATGGTGAAATGTTTATTATGCTTGACGTTACGACGAGTTCGTCGTTGTTAAAAGCCACAACTAGTTAAGAGTTGGTCTGCTTGAAGCGCAGTAGGTAACACCCTGAAGTTCACGCGCTTTCAGACCTTTGAGAACGTCAGGGATAATAAATGTTCTAAACTAAGAATTTTAATCAATACAGAATGCTCGGTTGCTCGTAGATTCAGTGACCGTTTGCCTACAATGACCATTATTCTTTGCCCATCAAAGTCCTTACTTTGTAAAATCGTGAATAATAACCGCATTACTGTTCAAAATAGAATTAGCTTACTTTGAATCAAGAAGACACTTCTCCTTCTTGCGGGCATCACAGGAATTCGGCACCGATGGATCACAAGTGCCTGGCTTTTGACACTTATCCGACTTGATATTGATAACATAACCAGGGCTGCAAAAATTCAGTTGTGGAAGAAAAATTTTACAAAACAAAAAATATGTTAACACCTTTCCATTCAAAGAAATGGATGTGCTCTTAAAACAGGTGCAGAGTCAGATGGCCCTAATCTCATTTCGAGTAGTGTCCCACGTATCAGTAAGTGAACAAGTAAGAGAGTATGCTATACGACTTTAGGTGCTAAAACTTTTTATTTTTCCTTTTTGGATTCATTCTTTGCACCTTCCAATGACTACTAATACACTTTTGAAAACCCAGTTTCTTGCTGTAGAAAATCTCAAAAGAGAATTTCTCAAGAAAAAATTAAATACTTACTCGCACTGGCATGCCACGCTTCCACCCGGTCCACGAACACATTTTGCGTTTGGACCACAGCTAGCCGAATCAGCAGGGTCACACTCATCCTGCGATTCTGATAGATCTTGAGGAGGTTCTCCGATCTCTGAAAGTTATTTTTCGGCTCTCTGGAGGGTTTCGTAGTTTCAATTGCTTAAGAAGACGTACTGCATGCCCCGGTATGCAGGTCTCTCCAGCCGAGGTCAGCTGGGCAAGTACAGCGCCAGTTACCGAACGGAGTCTTTTCGCAGATTTCCGGATCAGGACATGATGTAGGGATCTCCGGATTGCAAACATCGCCACCACAGGCCTGAAATATGATATTGACCACTTCCCTTCTGTCTAGAAAATCGACACTCAAAACAAACCTTAGTGACGGGATGCTCTTCAAAGCCTTCAGGGCATGTGCAGCTGTATTGGCCATTCTTCAACATACATACTTGGTTAAGAGCGCGATCGCATCCAGCGTGTGATGAAGGATCGCATGGTCCTGAACGGAAAAAAATTTATCCTATCGTTCATGGCTGTCTTGTAAACCAGTAGATGTAATTGGTTGGCAAGAAAGTTTTGCGACAAAATGAAAGTCAATTTGGATTCGATTTTAGAATTTTCCAAATTAATCAAGTATCAGAAATATATTCACCAAAGAGATCGGCATCCTTCACTATCTTTCGAAAAAATCACTGATACCTTCTATCCAAAAGTCAGGAAGCTTTGACTCAAAGTAAATCATTGACTGCCGTTTTTAGATAACATTAAGTTACAGACTTTCTCCCCACAAAGGGATGCTCGAGAATGCTGAGCGCATGGTAGTCAAAAGGGGCAACGTTCAGGCGGTATAACTGATGAACAACCTGGAATCAAGCGAGATCGGTGAACTCTTGACGGGTGTCTAAAGCGAATTTTCGACGTTCGTTGTCCCTCTGTAGGGACTTGATTTACGGTTTTATCGTCCTTCTCTAACCCCGTTGGCCAAATGAAGGGGATCATAGGGGCAAGCGATATGTATGTAGCTAAAATTATCTAGTCTGCGTTGAGTAACTCATAGTCAATGGGCCACTTTGCGCCCCATAGGATTATGAGACTATGCTCGCTTAACTTCTAGATGGCTAGGCTCTTGCAATGAAGCGGTTCAATTAATTTTTGAATTTTGATCATTGCAGATGGCTCAACGGTAATTTCAGTCGCTACACTCGCATTTTCCCTTAACATGTCTACATAGTAGAAAAAGGTACGAATCTGGTCTTGTATAGCCATTGATGGTGCAGTTGCGAAGGTATAAGTGCATGTTCGTGTTTATCTATGTGTTGATTGCCCTGGAAGTGTACCACCTTGCTATCGTTTCACAATGTTTACAATATTTCTTGCCAACCATCTCATTTTTCATTCAATACATGAATCGCATCATATCTCATGAAAGCTGTACGGACTGACTTACCACCAGATGGCTTAGGGGCTTCGTTCTGAGGGCAGGTCACTCGTTGAATGGCACTTCGAAGTCTTGTATTGAGGTCTTCAAATGCATTCACGTGGAATGTTCGATCCTTGGCACCAGTAATCTAAAAATGAATGGATATCTTGGTAAGCATCATCAAAACCTCTTATTCCCAGAAGCCTTCAATATCGGAAAGCTGCTTCATAGTTTCGAGTGCTTAAGTCCTATGTGTCAAAGCAGTGTACTACAAAGTTGTAGATTAGTGAACAAAAAATTGACAGTTGAAACAGCTCATAGGGGAGCACCGTACCTCTTCCAATTCAGCTTGAAGCACGTGATTAGTGACACCAACAGCGAACAACTGGATGTTCTGTCGACGAGCATTGTTTGCAGCCGTGGTTACGTTGTCCTGAAAGCGTTAGAAATCATTCATCCACCCGATGGAAACTCTAAACTGATAATATATTCATTTTGGAAAGTGACACAGCAGCATCTGTTCTTGTGATGAGATTTTTCGCAGTGTTTTCAGCATTACGGCTCTCGTATATGATGAATAGTTTATCCTACCATGGAACCTTCGATATGGTTTTACAGAGAGGAGATTTTTGAGGTGCTGTCGAAGTGGTCTAGCTCCTCGTCGGTTACCCCCGACTTTATTCCGTACGCCTTCATCAAGGGTATTCTCCCTCATATATTCTATCCATTGGAACATCTTTTCAATTTGTCATTCATGAGAGCTGAGATTCCTGATCGTTGGAAGCATTCAATAGTCACTCCTGTGCCTAAGAAACCCCCCTACAATCGCTGTGAAAATTATCGGCCAATAAGTATAACATCAATATTTGCTAGAGCTTTCGAGAAAATACTCAAGCGTAGACTTTTGGCCCATCTCGAGGACCACAGTGTAATCCCTTCTTCTCAACATGGTTTTTGCAAGGGGCGCTCAGTTGAAACCGC